TGTTTCCAGATATGGAACATATGACTTTCTTCATATGACAGTGTTGGGGGTCTAGAAGCCCGCGAAATGGGTCGGGATTTGGGGGGATTTTCATAGACACTATCACTTTCTCCTGAATGGGTCTAAATGACAGAGTCTCTTTAAGTGTTCCTGAGGAGGTTGCTATACTTACCAAGATAGGACAAGCAAATCAGCCCAGGCTTGATATCCTGCTTGAATAGAATGCATGAAGGTAAAAAACCTTTACAACCACTTTAAGTTGTACCTGTTTATCTATAGCTGACTTTCCTCTACATCCATTCAAAGTGCAGGATTTACACCAGATCTCTCAGCTCTGAAAAACAGGGGGCTCGGAGCTGAAGTTACATAAGAGAGGAGAGCTCTGAAAGCTGATTGGAGGAAAGGGACACATCCCACTTCACACAGGAACAGAGCTGAGGCTGTCAATCACAGGCTGTGCCCTCCCCTATCACCATTAGTCTCTTAGTTCCAGGAAAATTCATCAAAAGTGACTGATGCTTATAGCAGCGGAACAAGGCAGTGGACAGAAATGACACTCAGTACTCTGGACTGAAATAAGCACACACTACAGAGGGATATGTTTTGTTCATATTTTATGTCTGAGATTTACAAATACCTTAAATACATCAGCTTCCATACAATTCATTACAAATGAAACCAGAAACAAAAAGGCTTCCTTAGGTAGTTTTGTGTCAACTGTTTTTTAGCCAGTAGCAATAGGTCCACACAGGGGCGGACTGACCATTTGGAAACTCGGGCCCGGGGTCAGTAGGGGGCCCCATGAGATGCCCCTGGTACCTTTTTCATAGGCTTTTTTGAGTTTGGGCAAGGACACAGGTACCCCATGATCCCCTATTGCCCGGGGGCCCCATGAGTTGTCAGTCCGCCCCTGGGTCCACATTAGGTCGACCATAAAAGCTATAGGAAGGTTTACTCTTAAAAAAAATAAACCAAAAAACCCTCAACTTCATCCAGATTGGCCAGTGGCATAACGTTTATTAGCATTATTTATAAGATTTTTCCCCCCACAGTATAACACTGCACCACTCCACCAGGCATCCTTTGATTTTAAAAAAAAAAAGTAGCTTGAACAGCACCTCCATCCAATCAGGTGCTCCATTAATTGGCTGTCAATTACAAAGACTGGCCCACCTACCTCCCTGACATCACTGAAAGCCAGGGGCGGACTAATCATTTGGAAACTTGGGCATTGCCCGAGGGCCTGGGGTCAGTAGGGGGCCCCATGAGATGTCCCTGGTACCTTTTTCTTAGCCTTTTTTGAGTTTGGGCAAGGACACAGGTGCCCCATGATCCCCTATTGCCCGGGGGCCCCATGAGTTGTCAGTCTGCCCCTGCTGAAAGCCCACCAGTGGCTTGTATGGAAGAAGCCTACACACACATTTTGGGTTCGCTGCCAACCTATGGTGGTCAACCCAAATCTCATCTAGATAGATAGGTAAAGTAAGAGAAGCAGCACATGCGTTTGCTACAACACTGTCTCCTTCTTCTGCCTACTAATGCCACCCGGAGTTATGCTAATCCCCTGTAAGCTTCATATTTCTGTGTCATGTCCCGCTGTGAGGATAGCTCATATTACATCTGTAGATGATGAAGCTGCAGGTAGAACAAGTCTGTGCATTTTTCCTCCAGTGACGGGAAAGGAGCTGTCTACTTTCTGAAGGACGCCTACGATGTCCTGACTTCTTCTCTATATTTATAAGCCTCACTTGTCTTTTGTTGTTCTTACTAAACAGTCAGATACTTCTTTTTTTTTTTTTGCTTTAATTACGAAGTCATGTTTAAAAACACACTTGCAAGTCTAACCAATCATAAGAAAGTCAGAGTTATGCATTGTGCCATCTACTTGATTCCCATGATTGGGCAAGTATAGTGTTGCAAATAATAAAATACCTGATGTTGCCAAAAGTATTGGTTGGCCTGCCTTTACACACACATGAACTTTAATGGCATCCCAGTCTTAGTCCGTATCGTTCAATATGGAGTTGGCCTCGTCCTTTGCACCTATAACAGCTTCAGCTCTTCTGGGAAGGCCGTCCACAAGGTTTAGGAGGGTGTCTATGGGAAGGTTTGACCATTCTTCCAGAAGCACATTTGTGAGGTCAGGCGCTGATGTCGGATGAGAAGGCCTGGCTCGCAGTCTTCATCCCAAAGGTGTTCTGTTAGGTTGAGGTCAGGACTCTGTGCAGGCCAGTCAAGTTCCTCCACCCCAAACTCGCTCATCCATGTCTTCATGGACCTTGCTTTGTGCACTGGTGTGCAGTCATGTTGGGACAGGAAGGGGCCATCACCAAACTGTTCCCACAAAGTTGGGAGCAAGAAATTGTCCAAAATGTCTTGGTATGCTGACGCCTTAAGAGTTCCCTTCACTGGAACTAGGGGGCCAAGCCCAACCCCTGAAAAACAACCCCACACCATAATCCCCCCTCCACCAAACTTTACACTGGCACAATGCAGTCAGGCAAGTACCGTTCTCCTGGCAACCACCAAACCCAGACACGTCCATTGGATTACCAGACAGAGAAGCATGATTCATCACTCCAGACAACACATCTCCACTGCTCTAGAGTCCAGTGGTGCCGTGCTTTACACCACTGCATCCGATGCTTTGTATTGCAAGGTTTGATGTAAGGTTTGAATGCAGCTGCTCGGCCATGGAAACCCATTCCATGAAGCTCTCTACACACTGTTGTTGTGCTAATCTGAAGGCCACATGAAGTTTGGAGGTCTTTAGCTATTGACTCTGCAGACAGTTGGTGACTTCTGCGCACTGTGCGCTTCAGCATGCGCTGACCCCGCTCTGTCATGTTACATGGCCTACCACTTGGCGGCTGAGTTGCTGTTGTTCCCAGTTGCTTCCACTTTGTTATAATCTCACTAACAGTTGAGCGTGGAATATTTAGTAGCCAGAAAATGTCACGGATGGACTTTTTTCACAGGTGGCAACCTATCACGGGACCACGCTTGAATTCACTGAGTTCTTGATAGCGACCCATTCTTTCACAAATGTTTGTAGAAGCAGTCTGCATGCCTAGGGGCTTGATTTTGTACACCTGTGGCCATGGAGGGAGCCAAGAACTCTGAGTACACATGTCAATGATGTTCGCACTGGCACGTGCTGCCATTAGCTGTAACTGACAGCTCTGTCAATTAGCTGTCAATTGAAAACACTGGCCCACCTACCTCCCTGAGATCACTGAAGGCCCACCAGTGTCTGGCAACACCAGTATACTGTATAGAAGAAGCCCATCCACATGTCTACAGTGGTGCTCTGTGTTTACAAAGGTACAGAGTTTGGGGCTCAAGTTTTATACACTGGAACTGATCTAATGTCTAAAGGTTCTACCCATTATACTTCATGTTTTGGATTGTTGGCCATACACTCATGTTACAATCTGTTTGTACTATCTCAATTAGGTTTTTCACACAAAACACACTTGACTAGATAGGGATAGTGAGGAGCTGAACACAACTGGGTTTGGTTTGAGCAGGGTTCGGTGAACAATACTAAAGTGCAGGTCAAGAAATGGTTCTGGCCATTTTCTAGGCTGATGGGCAAAGGGATTACCAAACACATGGCATGGAGGAATGGGCACTGCCATGAGCTTAATGTACCAAAGCAAGAAACATTTTTTTTTTAAATTTTGTTATGGTCATCATGAAGATTCCAGCGATGCAACTGACTATGTCTTGAACATACCCAAACCCATGGCTCTGCTCCAGACTTGCTTCAGACTTGTGCTGGCACCACAGCCCATCTCCACTCTCATTCAAAAGTATGGAAAATATCAGCTGCATGACAGTACTTTGTTCTCCATTAATTTGTTAAAAAAAGACTGCATGCATCAATGTCTCCAACTGAAACCAACCCATACATCAATGATGGGGCACTATTCCTCCCACTAATACCAATCATGGGCATTAGTTACTTCCACAAAGTATTTACTACTCCCATTGGGCAAAGTCTGCCCCCCCTATAGTCTGAAGGACAGTAAACTGGCCCTTTGTTTGGATATATTGGAGACTCCTTGACTTAGGACATCAAGACCTCTAAATACAGATATGGTGCTTAAGATCCAGGTGCACATGCACAGTGGCTCTTCTTGTGTTGACAACATGTTGACGTGGGAGAAATCAGAGTGAACAGAGGGATAACTCTTCAATCTTCTGCTGCTTCTTCGTGGTCCAATCAGCAGACTGGAAATGCGTTTGACCAGTCTGGGTTACCACAATCTGATGAATTTGTGGTAGCACTGAATGCCTGGAAAGGGGAATAATGTTTACTGTATATATAAAGAAATATGTTCTCCTTTATGGAAGTAAAGCCATGGTGGAAGTAGGGTGTGCGGATCTGGTTCTGGTCCTAGGCTGCTACCTCTCTGATCAAGATAGAAGGATCACCAGACAAATAATTCCTGTATATGTGGTTAGGAGCAGCTAGTACAAACAGCTCGCTTGGGAATTTATTTAAAATATTGATTAAAAATCAGATCTATCCAATAGGTTTCGGTATAGAGTCCCCCTCCTTCTTCAGGGTCTGAAGGAATGGCTTGAAATAGAATCAGTATAGAGTTCACTAGAAGGCCTGGAATAAAGCCGGCCATAGACAATGCAATTTTCTTGTATTTGCAGGAAAGAAAATAACTTGATTCCCCCACCAACACAGCCAGTGTTGATGTGGGGAATCCCTCCTGTGGAGCTATTGTGTTCTCCTGGGGGGGGGGGGGGGTGCTTTCCCTGCCAGAAGAACACAGTGATTATTGCTAAGACCTATAGCCACTGGTAGTAATCGCATGAAAAATCATACCAGCTGGTTGTTCCCAAGTTGTACAGCAATAAAGTTGTGTACAATCAGCCTACCCATAGATGGTTCAAATATTGGCTGGTCCCTGTCAAACTGGCTGAAATTTGGTCCATCTATGGCTGGCTTTATGCTGGAATCAGGGGTGGACTGACAACTCATGGGGCCCCCGGGCAATAGGGGATCATGGGGCCCCTGTGTCCTTGCCCAAACTCAAAAAAGCCTATGAAAAAGGTACCAGGGGCATCTCATGGGGCCCCATACTGACCCTGGGCCCTTGGGCAGTGCCCGAGTTTCCAAATGGTCAGTCCGCCCCTGAGTAGAATTGTCATATACTGGTAGCTACCAGACCCTGAAAAAAGGGAAGGCTGTTCCCCTGAAATGCATTAGCTGTATCCAATTTTTTTCATCAATAAATACTTGAAATGATTTACCAAGCGACATGAACATTTGTAGAAGGCACTTCTGACCACACATCTAGGAGCTTCTGCATTGGAATGTTAAGACTTGATGGTTATTTCTGGAAGGGGTGACTGGATGACAAGTTAAATATTTTGTATTGTACTATTTGGTTAACCTGATAATTAAAAAAAAAATGTATTGTAATTTTTGGAAGCTGACAATACAGTAACATTATTTTATTCTATCCTTTCAGTTCCAGATAACCATCCGGAATGAATTCCACCATGGCTGAAGCTTTCCCGGCCTCCCCAGCGAGTCCAGACCGGCCCCTGCCCCCGGTGACTCGACCTCATGGGGTCTCTGAGGTGACTCCAGCAAAGAAGATAACCTTCTTCAAGAGCGGGGACCCCCAGTTCAGCGGAGTAAAAATGGCCATTAATCGGCGTAGTTTCAAGAGTTTTAGTGCCCTTATGGACGATCTTTCAAACCGAGTCCCTTTGCCGTTTGGAGTTCGGACGATCACTACTCCTCGAGGAACTCATAATATAAACAGGCTGGACCAGCTTCAAGATGGAGGAAGTTATATATGCTCCGATAAAAAATATGTGCAACCCATCGCTGGGCTTAAAGTGGGTGCTCACAAAAGCAGCCGCCCAGTGAGTGCTCGAAAACCGGGTCAACAGGATGAGCCGGAGGAGGAGTTCTCGGCAGCTCACTTTCAACAGGTGCCCAGACTGAGGAAGAAGGTCGTTCTAGTGAAGAATGGAGATCCAACTGTTAGGCGATCCGTCATTCTGAACAGACGCAATGCACGCAACTTCAAGACCTTCCTTGAGGATGCTTCTGATCTTTTGCAGTTTACTGTTCGCCGACTCTACACTGTGGATGGAAGGAGAGTAAGTCCAGCAATAATTTGCAATAGGGAGAATATGTGTAAAGAAAATAAACAATTGGTCTACCTTGAAAATGACTTGGAATCACGAAAAAAAAAAAACAGTAGATTTCTCAGTTGGCTGAGATTTTGTTTTTTAAATGGTTGAAAATTGAAAGCACCACTAATAGAAAAAAAAATTAAAATCAAAAAAGGAAGATGAAAGGAAGGATGATGGCCTTGTAGAGGACAAACTTATGAAAGTAGAGCAGAGTTTTCACAGCTGCTATCTAGGGATTGCTAGAGAGCTGTGACATGAGAGAGGGAGCAAAAACCGCTACACAAATGCCATTTACGAGGGAATGGTATGAGGTATGGGAAGGGTCTACTTAAAGGATAAGTTCACGTTTCATTACATGTTACACCCAGGGGTGTACTGTCAACTCATAGGGCCCCCGGGCAATAGGGGATCATGGGGCCCCTGTGTCCTTGCCCACACTCAAAGCACACCCAAAAAAGCCTATAAAAGGTACCAGGGGCATTTCATGGGGCCCCCCAGGGGGGGACTGACCATTCGAGCACTCGGGCACCACCCAAGGGCCCAGGGTCAGTGAGCCCCCTACTGACCCCGAGTGCCGAGTTTCCAAATGGTCGGTCCACCCCTGGCTGCTGCTGAATTATTTATATTCATAGAGAGAATTGTCGCTGTGCATGACCTTGTCCATGGATGGAGCAAAAGAGTAACAAAAAAAAATAAGAAGTTATTTACCCTCCTGAGGATCGAGGGGGGGGGATCCCCCTTCCTGACCAGGCCATTTTTTGCAATACAGCGCTGCGTCACTTTAACTGACAATTGCGCAGTCATGCGACGCTGCACACAAATGAAATGTATGTCTTTTTTTCCTCACAAATAGAGTTTTCTTTCGGTGGTATTTGATCGCCTCTGCGTTTTTTATTTTTTGCGCTATAAAAAAAAAGACTGACAATTTTGAGAAAAAAACAATATTTGTAACTTTTTGCTATTAACCAGTTGCCGACCGCAGATAGCCGAATGACAGCTACACTGCGGCCGGCCAGTTCTGGGAGGGCGTCATATGACGTCCTCCCAGAACGCGCTCTCCTGCGCGCCCCTCGGGGCGCACACCGGGCGATCTCCATGATCGCTGTGTCCTACGGACACAGCTGATCACTGATGTGGTAAAAGGCCAATCACAGCGGATTTTTGCCACGTGATCAGCCGTGTCCCAATGACACGCTGATCACAGGTAAATGCAATTGCGGTTCTCGGCTGCACTTTCCTCACGCTGTCAGAATGTGGGGAAAGTACTGCCAAGAACCAGCAGTTGTCAGAGCAGGGATCGGCACCGATCATCAGGGCACTGATGACCAGTGCCCTGATGATCGGTGCCCAGCGGTGCCACCCACCAGTGCCCAGTGGTGCCACCCACCAGTGCCCATCAGTGCCACCCACCTGTGCCACCCAACTCTGCCCATCAGTGCCACCCACCAGTGCCCATCAGTGCCACCCACCAGTGCTCATCAGTGCAGCCCAGCAGTGCTGCCAGTCAGTGCCCAGCAGTGCCGCCAGTCAGTGCCCAGCAGTGCTGCCAGTCAGTGCCGCCTATCAGTGCTGACTATCAGTACCCATCATCAGTGCCGCCTATCCGTGCCACCTCATTAGTGCCGCCTATCAGTGCCCTTCAGTGCCGCCTATCAGTGCTGCCTATCAGTGCCCATCAGTGCTGCTGCCGATCAGTGGAGCCTCATCAACGCACATCAATAATGAAGAAAAATTACCTGTTTGCAAAATTTTATAATAGAAACAAAGAAACCTTTTATTTTTCAAAATTTTTACTTTTTTTTTGTTTATAGTGCAAAAAATAAACCCCCCGGCGGCAAGTAAATACCACCAAAAGAAAGCTCTATTTGTGAGAAAAAATTATAAAAATGGCATATGAGTACAATGTTGCATGACCGCGTAATTGTCATTCAAAGTGCGACAGCGCTGAAAGCTGAAAATTGGCCTGGTAAGGAAGGGGGTAGAAGTGCCTGGTAGGCAAGGGGTTAAACATGTCCGGTAAAATTTTTTTTAATAAAAATCAAATTTCCTCATAAATTTCGGCCAAAATGTATTCTGCGACATGTCTAAAAAAAATCCCAATATATGTAAATTAATTGGTTTACGTGAAAGTTATAGCGTCTTCAAATGGCGGTATATATACTGGGATTTTTTTTTTACTAGTAATGGCGGTGATCAGCGACTTATAGCGGGCATTCTGACACCAGCATCATCTAGCTCAGTGGTTCTCAACCTGTGGGTCGCGACCCCTTTGGGGGTCGAACAACCCTTTCATAGGGGTTGTCTGAGACCATTGGAAAACACATATTTCCGATGTGTAAAGAGCAGTAAGAAAGCAGCTACTGCGTAGAGAGCAGCTACTGTGTAGAGAGCAGCTACTGTACTACTGTGTAGAGAGCAGCTACTGTGTAGAAAGCAGCTACTGTGTAGAGAGCAGCTACTGTGTAGAAAGCAGCAGTATTGGAGGTAAAACGACACTTCATAAATTATAATTACTGGGTAAATAATTTTATGGTTGGGGGTCACCACAACATGAGGAACTGTATTAAAGGGTCACGGCATTAGGAAGGTTGAGAACCACTGATCTAGCTCTTTCCTCCCCAGCCTTCCCAGGAACACCCACTTCTCCAGACTGCCATCTACCCAACAAGCCATTTTGATATTTGCATAACTCCTCCCAAGAGCCAGCATCAGGGCTGAGGGCTCCTGAGAGGAGAAGCAGGGTGCTGTGCTTCTCCTCCCACTCACCACGATCAGCCTGCATTGCATATAGAAGGGCAGAGACCCGGTGATGACATCACTAGTTGTATAATATGCACTGAAAACAGGAAGGTTTTATATAAAAATTTCATAAGCGTGTATATGTAGGGGGGAGGAGCCAGAAAAGGCAAAATACTCAGAGGTTTAAAGTGATTTAATGGCTGTGTTCTCCCTCCAGATTGAGAACATACAAGGCGTTCTGCAGTCTCCCAGCATCCTGATCTGTGCGGGCAGAGAGACCTTTAAACCCATCCAGTCTGAAAATATGCGCAAAAGTATCACCGAAAAGCTGCCGGGTCTCCGATCTCAACACATCCACAACCACAACAGTGAGATCCGCGACAACAAGAAAAATGGTGAGTCCTGCAGAGACAGATCACGTCTAATTTCCAGCAAATCAGTGAGACTCACTTCACCAAGAGTCACGGTTCAGTTCTTGGTGGAGCCAGCCTATGACAATGCCTGGCCACAGCCACTAGCTCTGATTCCACCTTTGTATCTGCTGTGTGTGTTCCTCTGGCTGCTTCCAATCCACTTCTTTCATATACACTAGAGCATAAAAAAAACCAACAGGGATGGTGGGAACCCCTCATAATGGGTACAGTGTGTGTACAGACCCGGTAAACTCAGCACAGGGATGGTGGGAACCCCTCATAACGAGCTCAACAGGTGTACAGACCCGGGAACTCAGCACAGGGATGGTGGGAACCCCTCATAACGAGCTCAGCAGATGTACAGACCCGGGAACTCAGCACAGGGATGGTGGGAACCCTCATAACGGGCTCAGCAGGTGTACAGACCCGGGAACTCAGCACAGGGATGGTGGGAACCCCTCATAACGGGCTCAGCAGGTGTACAGACCGGGAACTCAGCACAGGGATGGTGGGAACCCCTCATAACGGGCTCAGCAGGTGTACAGACCCGGGAACTCAGCACAGGGATGGTGGGAACCCCTCATAACGGGCTCAGCAGGTGTACAGACCCGGGAACTCAGCACAGGGATGGTGGGAACCCCTCATAACGGGCTCAGCAGGTGTACAGACCCAGGAACTCAGAACAGGGATGGTGGGAACCCCTCATAACGGGCTCAGCAGGTGTACAGACCGGGAACTCAGCACAGGGATGGTGGGAACCCCTCATAACGGGCTCAGCAGGTGTACAGACCCGGGAACTCAGCACAGGGATGGTGGGAACCCCTCATAACGGGCTCAGCAGGGATACAGACCCGATAATTCAGAACAGGGATGGTGGGAACCACTCATAATGGGCACAGCGGGGTGTACAGTCCTGGGAACTCAGCACAGGGATGGGGGGAACCACTCATAAAGGGCTCAGCAGGTGTACAGTCCTGGGAACTCAGCACAGGGATGGTGGAAACCCCTCATAACGGGCTCAGCAGGTGTACAGACCCGGGAACTAAGCACAGGGATGGTGGGAACCCCTCATAACGGGCTCAGCAGGTGTACAGACCCAGGAACTCAGAACAGGGATGGTGGAAACCATTCAAAACAGGCTCAGCAGGTGTACAGACCCGGGAACTCAGCAAAAGGATGGTGGGAACCCCTTATAATGGGCACAGCAGGGATACAGACCCTATAATTCAGAACAGGGATGGTGGGAACCACTCATAATGGGCACAACGGGTGTACAGTCCTGGGAACTCAGCACAGGGATGGGGGGAACCACTCATAACGGGCTCAGCAGTTGTACAAAACTGGGAACTCAGGACAGGGTGGTAGGAACCTCTCATAATGGGCAAAACAGGTGTGTAGACGCAAGAATTCAGAATAGGGATGGTGGGAAGCATTCATCACAGTCATAACAGGTGTGCAGACCCTGGAGTTTGGTACAAAGATGGTGTGACCCCACAATGGCTATAGCAGATGTACAGACCCAGAAGCCCAGCATAGGGGTGGTGGGAACCCCTCATAATGGGCACAGCAGGTGTACAGACCCAGAAGCCCAGCATAGGGGTGGTGGGAACCCCTCATAATGGGCATAGCAGGTGTACAGATCCAGGAACTCTGCACAGAGGTGGTGGGAACCCCCCATAATGGACACAACAGGGGTAGAGACAAGGGAATTTAGAACAGGGGGGTGGGAACCCCTCAGTATAGGTACAGCAGGTGTGCAGACCCAGGCATTTATAACAGGGATGGTGGTAACCCCTCATCATGATCACAACAGACCCAGGAGCATTCCACTCTGGTGTATATCATCTCCAACATCCTGCATTCCAATGCCATGCTTCTATGTAAAGCTGAGCACACAACATGGGATAGGGCCTGGGGTGGGTTACCCCCAGCCAATTGGACAATGGAGAAGCCACACTTTTTTTTTTCTTTTACAAGCCTGATAGCTGACATCTGATGTTACTCATCATTATGCAATCCGGTTTGAATTTGGTGCAGGAATATCAGTCTTCATACAAATCCCCATCACGACGCATTCATGTTCATATAAATGCCTATATAATCAGCTCAGCGTGTACGCATGGCAGAGAGTCCTCAACGCCAACACCAGTCTGCACGGGTCTCCTTTCATCGTCTATGCTTCATATAGAGGATGTCCCATCAAAGTGCTCATATTGTGTCTAATCGTTCCCAATAAAACGTATAACTGCAGTGACAGCGGCAGATGTTCCGGCTTGGGGCTCAGCCATGGATTTACATGCAGGAACATCTACACGGGATTTCCATCCCGGACTGCTGATGTCTTGAGCCTTTAGCATCTCCGGCTAATCCGGGGTTCCCAGGCTGTGTTTGATGTGGGGCAGGAGCCGG